GAGACTTCCAGTTGACTCAGATGAGGATCTCGTCGCTCGCATATCTGTAGCTGCTGCAGGTGTGCGTGAAATACCAGGCATCTTTGAACGTGTACGCCAATCGCTCCACCGACGCTGTCAAGCATGTATCGCTTCTGGTGGACGCAATTTTGAACACTTACTGTAAACATGACACTTGTCAACAACGCTTTCAATAAAATCTTTGTTTTTCCTTTCGTCCGTTATTTCTCCTGTTTACGCCTCACCGCGTCACTTGCGACTATACATTCCTATACAATAAGTCATTGTTACAATGTCCTGTACCTACCATTAAAGTTTGTACCATGAATTCGGGACCACCCTGTATAACAACCGTACAAATGCCTCAGAGGGAGACCTTGTTGGTTTTTCTCCGTGTACTTAGGTAATACTGAGTGTAAAGTATGTTCTTCACATTGCACGGTGTATGCATGATATTTACTTTATAATTTGTATTTCAATAAATCTTTATTTGCCGTTAATTGCATTTATTTTCAAGTTCAACAAACATTGCCAATTATACTGAACTTGGCGGTAATATTATTTCAATCTGCGATAAATTTATGGTTTATAGTGGCTTCATTCCATGTCAAATTTAAAAATGGCACGCAAAACATTGAATTTCACTGAAAATTCATATTATATTAAAGGGATTATGAATAAGTATTTATATTAATGAATATATATAAAAATATAGGACAGTATAACTGGAGTTATAGTTATTCATAACTCTATTTATATAAATTATAACTACTTTTTTAAATGAACCGGGAGAGCCTGGTTGGTAGGGCTCTGGAATCCCGTTCGTGAGAATGGGAGTTCGAATCCAGTCGTCCAAAGACTCCCCATGTAGTCAATAGTGACTGGTGCACATTAAATCTGTCGGTTCACAATGTCTTCCATGTTCCCATCAAAAAAAATATGTACCTCTGGGGGGTACTATTTTGGTGATTGATCATTCTCTGGTTAATGTTCAAAAATGCGATCTGTGGATGTATGAATGTTTCCGCCCTATAAACGGGTGTGACGTATAATTCTGGCAGACATGGAATTCTTTGCCATAGATCTCTCTACTAGAAAACAAGAACAATCGCTCCCCCAGTGCCTTAATGGCCGACAACAACTTTGTTAAATCTACATTGGTGATTATAAAATATAATACAACTTTTTTACCCATTTACTTACGTCAGTATTATTGATGTTCTTAATATTAGCATAAAGAATTCTATGATATAATTTTCCATGAATTATTCTATAAATTCTATATTGTTGAATCACGGTGCCATAACTGGAGGAACTGGCATGAATAACTGTGTGAAGCCAGGTGTTTATTTTTTCATCCATAATTATGCTTTGAAAATGCATGTCTATAAAACTAATACACTATACGTTATACTACAGATTAAAAACAACGGTAATGTAATTGAAACAAAAAAAATTAGTAAGATACGTACAGAAATGTAAAATGGCGAAATTGCACTGAACCGTTTAGGAATAAAGAAATAATTTCTTCGCCATTATGACGCCTTGGTTAATTTTCGTAATAAGTTTTGTAGGTAAATATACGACATATTTTAAATTAGATTTCTCAGAATTTTTCAACCGATTTCGCCCAATTTTTGTATTTTGCCATAAACAATTACGCATTTTAAAATGCAATAAAAAATTTTATACGTTACAATTAAAAACTTTCTTGACTATTATTAAATAAAATAATCAAAAATAATAAATATTTGCTAAAGTGGAATTTTTTTTCATTGAATTATCTTCGGATTAACGAATTTTACAATTGCGTGCAAAATTTTTTCCACTCTCTTAAAAAGTTATAGTGTGATACGGTTAAATACGCAAAAAGTAAAATTAACATTAAGGGGTTAAAACTTTGAATTGCTCTCATAATCATACTTTAGGGACCATATGGCTGCTACCTCCTATGTTTTTGGGTTCAGCATTCCGAATCCATCGAGAAAAAAAAGGAATGTGCATTTAGAGAAATTGCTTTTTTGTGTCTGACTTCGTAACTTAAAATATCGTCTGGGCTAATTAAGTAGCATATTTAAGGTCATCCCCTCGAACAATTGAGATTGAGTCCTCGGACGTGAATATCCGATCATTAGATCAAATGTTATTCATAGTGGTCCGTTTATTTATTAATTTATTTGCACACTGTACACAACATTTATCATGAAATACAAACTAAATTCTCAAACAGCATAAATAGCTCAGATAAAAATACGAAATATATATCACAAATACATATATTTGGGTTGCGTTGATACTTGGTTTAAAGTAAACTATCTCTTGTTACATTAAAAATAGTCTTCCAGTCAATACATTAAGTAATAAAAGAATTATTTAAACTTTCTGGTGCATTACTTTTGAATGCTTAATCCCGGAAATATCACGGGCACGTGAAAGAGAAGATGAAAACTCACTCCGTGATTTTGTTGGGAGCGAAAGGGAAAGGGTTAGGATATTTCCATTACCAACATTTTGGATAAAATAGATTTCCTGATTCTCTGATATCAATTTCGAGAATAAACATGTTGTCTTATATACATAAATTTAATAAATATTTAGTTACCTCTGTCATTTTCTTAAAGTTAAAAAAGTTCCATATTGTAAATTATGGTATAAAGTACTATCACTTTGAGTAGAGTATCCGTAAAATAATTTTTACAGTAAATTTTTATACCGCAATTTTTACAGTAATGTTCTTTTAATAACAGTGACAGTTATTTTACAGTAAATATTACTGCAAAAATTATGGTTTATCAAATTTTTTCAGTAAAATTTCAAGGGAAAAATGAATTTTGGGGTAGGAAGTATTGGCTCTCTAAGTGCTAGAGCTTTTAACTGTAATTTCTTCTGGAATTTTTATAGTATAGTTGAGTTATTCGATGACAAAATATAACATTTCCTAAATAATTGTACAGTTCTTTTAGTAGAAAAACAATACTTACGACCAGCGTCATTGGATGCTGCAGCAATAGTAACTGCAACTGCAATAGTAACAAGAAGGAAAAGTTTCATTTTTGCAAGATCTCTCTGTCTAACAGGATGAAATAAAATAAATTTCTGATCACCAGCATATATATATACTAAATTTCTTAAATATAAATATAATAAATATGATTTATTCTTAATAAAAATTGCTTGATGTTTAGCAATACACAGCTGAAATACTAAGTACACTATTAAATATTAGAATTTAATGATTCTGTTCCATACATTAATTTTTCTATGCTATCGAGATCCATTAGAACTTTTAAACGATTATTTTATTTCAGACACAATCTGAAAACATAAAGTAGTAAAGTTAAAAAAGTCTGTAATCTAAACAAATAAAATGAGTTATAAAAAGACGAAGTTGAATACTTCACATATTCCATCATGTATTATATAATATTTGCATTACAAGTTCATTTTTTTACTGCCAACTATACCCAGGAATATTAGATTATTTTAAAATAATTGGTTAAATTATTCCATTCAATTTTCATAATAATGTCGAGTTCTCAAACTAAAAAAAACTAATGTCTAAATTCATAAGTTCAGTCAAATTTAGTACACATTTCCTTATTTTTTAACTTTATCAACGAAACAAATAGTAAACAAGATAAATACTTTCTATTTTTATATTTCATAACCGTCGTTGAACAGTCCAATATTTGGGTTTACGACTACTAATGTTCAACTACGTAGCTTTGTAATTTTGAGCCCAGTCCAGAAGATAAGGGAACTCCTGGATCAAGTATTGGAAGAAATTTGCCTTCATGGAGAACTTTATGATGGAGATTACCCGCATTTACGTTGCAAGCTGGGGAAAACTATGAAAATCTCCCTAAACTACCCTGACCGCAAGGGGACTCTAACCATGGATCCTAAAGCGGTAGGATATCCAGCTCGTGCTTAGAAAACGGAAGCATATCAAATAAAATAATGACTAAATTCATTCTCATTGATAAGTTAAGTCAAATTTAGTATACTTTTTCTTATTTTTTAACTTCATCAACGAAACAAATAGTAAACAAGATAAATACTTTCTATTTTTATATTTTATAGCAGTCGTTGAACAACCGACCCAATTTTTGGGTTTACAACTAACAATGCTCAACTACGCAGCCTTGTAATTTTGAACCCAGTTCAGAAGACAAGGGAATTTAGAAGAAATTTGCCTTCATGGAGAACTTGATGACGGAGCTAACCCACATTTACGTTGCGATCGGGGGGAAACCACGAAAACCTCCCGAAACTTGCCACACGGCAAGGGGACTCTACCGCTGCGGATATTTTACGTCAGCACTGCGGTCGGTACGAGCCTGGTGCGGAATTCGTATCGATCAGTCATCCCTGTGATTTCAGCCAACACCTCCTAGAATGGTTCAAACAACACCTGTTTATTCTAGGAGGTGTTGTTCGAACCCGCTTCAACTCAAGGCGAACGCTTTATCCCTTAAGCCACCACGGCTCAAGATAAATACTTAATTTTCTTATGATTCTGTATATTTTATTTCTTCTTTAAAAGACAAAAATTTTACTCTACTTGTACTAGTAAGTTCCACCCCTGTTTGCTGACGCTTCCCAACCCCCGAAGATAGCATAGCAATCTTTGGGCAATCGGCAATACAAGCGTTCAAAACAATCGTTATAATCATCGGTAATGTCCAAGTTATTTGCAAACAAATTGTCGTTGTGTCAAATTGTAAAATGTTCAATCTTGCCAATACAAGTGGTGTAAAAAATGAGGGAATGGTCTCAAAAGAGACCTTACCCCATTTTTTTACCCATCCTTTTTTGGAAAAGGGATGGAAAAACCTTACAATTTTCAATCGTGTTTCAACCAACTGCGGTATGCAGATACTTTTCAATTTCCGCAAGTGTGGATCATGAGTCTTTGATGGTGTCCACAAGACTTCTTTGTATCTGTCCAGGAATTTTCAGATAGCAAATCGAATCGCGGACACCCCCATTTTCCAATGTCGATGAAGGGTATTCCCAGATTTTCGAAATTATCCGCCAAATACGGGCACCCTTGGATGACCAGACGGATATAATCACAGTAATTTGAAATAAATATTGAGCAATATGGACTGTACATCATTTTGCTCTTGAGGTAACTCGTTTGGTTTGGCAAAAAGGGTAAGTTCAAGTGATTTACATTCTTCTTAATACATTCGCAATGCATGGAGTTGTGACACCTACAAAAAGCATTTAACAGATGAATCTGGTAAGAATCGACGCTTGCATTAAACCAACAGTGTAAAAACAATTATGTTGTATAGACGTGAGCTTGTAAAATTTTTTGCTATACGATTTTACCCCAGCGATTCCTTTGCTCCAACGTGAAGCTTTTGTTTGCAATCATGTCTGAAGTGAATTTCTCAATGAATTCTGAATGAAATCTTCCTTTTCTAACGAAGAAGGAAAATTGTCTGATTTGATCCTTGCTGATGCTCCAACTCCACTGAGAAATGCATTGCCATCTCCTCATCTGAGAGATGCATTTCCCCACTGCCTCCTTCACCAACAAATCATTTATTCAGACCCATCTCACCACCAACATTGTCTCCTGCCAAATCACCGATGCCAGTGAAACGAAACCCACGCTCCATCATCACTGTTGCTCCTCATCGAATGAAACCCTAGCGAATTCCATTGGTTTCGGCTCAGGATTTTCGTTGCCGGTTGAAGCGAAAGTTTGACATTTCTCCAGACACTCCAGTCAAGCGTTTCGTGAGAAAAGAGTCCAAAGATGAACCACCTACCAAACGTTCAAGGGATCCTCCAAAAAATCCATTTCAAAGGAATCTCGTCATCCTTAAAAGAATTCTCGTAAACCTTTGATTGCCTCAAGAAAATGTGACAAACCCACAAGCGTATCAAGGAAATGTAACAAACCCACATGCGTTTCAAAGGAATGTGATAAACCTTTAAGCGATTCTGACAAACCCAGAGATGCCAACTTGCTCCGGAGAGCAAAAATTTCTCTTAAAGTGATAGTTTATCAATTGTGATTCTTGGTTTAATAAATTAAATTGAGTATCCACCACTAGTTGAGTTTTTTTATCCACCACTATTTCTAAATAATTCGTAGGCTTATATAATTCACCACTTCATAGTACTATTGTCGATTTCAGCCCGATTCTTCTAATCCGGTTCGACAGTCGGTAGTCCTTTACATATTGACAATTCAAATTGGTGCTGCTGAGATGATGGACAATGGGTTTGATGCAAGTCGTGATTCTGGCTAGCTGGATTTTGATGTCTTGATTTTGCTGACAGCATTTGACCATTTTTCTTTCGAGTGAGTCGTACCTATTTCATTCTCTTGCAATTATGTCTGATTTTACTAATACTGACTTGATTTGAGAGTTTGAGTAGTTGCAAGTTATGTAAAGGTTTCTGCCTGCAAATTGTAGTCATCAATTTACGCAACCATATCGATTAAGATGATAATTCAACCACGCTACAATGGCTACTTATCATCATCACGGACTGAAAGGCATGCATGTGACTCAACGACGGATGAGGAATGCACGGATTTTGAAACCAAAATGGCTAAAGAGTTTGCAGACATGGAAAGGAGAATTAAAGAAGATGAAATGAAAAATAAAGAACTACTTGAGAAATTAAATAAGTTGGAGCAGTCTTTCATGCCTGTGCCAAATAGGCCTGAAATGCCGACTGCAACAGTTGATGTCACTGACATGGAAATTTATGAAGGCGGGCAACTTTTGGAAGAGACGGGGAAAGCGTCGACCATTGATTCAGAAAGCTCAATCAAAAATAACACAGAACCCCCTCCAAAAAAGGAAAAAGATGAAAAAAACGCAAACCAACGCCAAAAAAACTGAAGATAATCTAAGCATGACTACAAGAAGCTGCCATTCCTCACCGACAGATACCGCCACGTCCTTACCACTACCAGATTCCTGCTTAGCTCCACCCATGGAGGATTCAAATGAAGCTGCAACTCCAGTAAAAGTGCTAACAACCAAACATATTAAAGTCTTAATTCGTGGACTCCCAGCTGAACTAAAAACGGAAGATATCTCTCATGAATTGGGGAAAACAGGCATCTCAATCCAAAAAGTAATACAGTTTAAGAGAAAAGTGAGCGAGGCCTATCGACTCTTCCCACTTTTTCTCACAATTCTTATAGAAACAGAAAATAACCGACAAATCTTCTCCGTCACCAGCATATGTGATGTCCCGGTCAAAATTGAAAGGTTCCTCGGTGGGAGAGGCCCGATTCAGTGCCTTAACTGCCAAAATTTTGGCCACACTCAAAAAATATGTAATTCACCTCCAAGATGTGTTAAATGTGCCGCAGAACATCGATCTTACGAGTGCCACAAGGACATCGACACACCACCTATGTGCTGCAATTGCGGGGAAACCCACACTGCCAACTACACGAGGTGTAAATCCGTCCCCCCAGGAGGGGCCCTCGTGCCATTCCATTCACAACTACAGGATAAGCTCACAGATTGGTAACGATCTCAAAGAACTTCAGGAACTTTTAAAAAACAAAGAAGTGTTTCAGATATTACAATCGATCATGAGGGAGACCACTCCTGAACAGTGATATCTTTTGCCTTAGTTTGAACTCTTATTTTAATCACAGAACTCTAGTTTCGTATTTCCACACTGCTCATTTAACAAATATAGAATGTTTTCAGTTTATTCAATTTCGAGTTGCATACAACAGATGGCGCCACTAAAGTTTGGTATAATCAAAGATTTATACAGCTCGACTTATGTTTTTATCTATGTATCAACTCGTTCAATAATTTTCAATTGCTTAATTTCCATTTCACCTTTCATATTTCTATGCATAATATTCATATCAAGCTGCATATAATTACTATTACACATTTCTCAAATTTGGTTGAATTCATGTTTCTTTTTGCAAATAATGATTAACGTATCTATCTCCAATAATGTCTGTAAATAAATACCAACGTATATTTTTCAAATTATGCCTGTATATAATTATCATATTTCTTGTAATACAAAATGTTTTTAATTTATCAAGCAAAGAGCTTGACTTTTTTAAAAAGCTACCATAAAAAAGTTACACTGCATTTTCAAATCAAGC